TAATTATAAAGACTTGCTAAAATATATTATAATTTTATGGATTTAGTTTTATTTCACAGGAACATTTATTTATTTAATGGAATATTTATTTATACTTTATTAATTACATTATTTATTTAATTTTGAATGTAAGGTCTCTCCATACACTCCTGGTCTTTCTTCATAATGAAACGTTCATTTTATTCATAAAATTCAGATATATGTTCATAAATGAGTTGAATGTTTGTCACTCTGTGATTATAAAAGCTTTGCAGAGGTACTTATTGTGGCTTTTGGCCAAATAACACTGTTTTATTGAATAACCTGTATTCAATTCCCAAACACTTGCTTCCATTTCTCTCAGTAAAAGCAAAATAAGACAAATGTTCCTCCATTTGTGTGTTGTAAGGTTGTTCTTCTGTGAGCAGAAAGGGTTTTGTAACTTGTTTCTTTCTGCCCATGGACAAAATCAATGCTTTTTTTTTTGTGTACTCTGACTGTACTGATAATTATGACTCACATAAAAAATGGTTTCCAGGTAGGTCAGAGCTTTGTTGACTAAGCTGAATTGTGAAACATCTTTCCAAATGTAAAGGAGTTCAAAAAAAAAAAAAAAGTGCGGCCGGTGTCTGTCAAAGTAGGTATCCCTGAAATAATCTGCATCCCTACCAGAGGGGGGCGTCCGACTGTCGGATCTGCTTAATAAAACGATGGTTTCTGTAAATAAAATGCTGAAACGCAGACAAATAGGTCCGTAAGTGAGTTGTTTCGTTGTCATTTTGTGACCATAAAGCATTTGCCGAGGCACATTTTGTGTAGTTTTGTCAAATAAAACTCTGTTATTGAATACGTGTAGTGTTTTCATTTCAACTCAATTTCTGTCATTAAAATAAAAAATAAACCACAAATTTCCCTTCATTTGTGGGTTGTATGATTGTTGTTCTTTGAGCAGGAAGGCTTTTTGCTGTAGTTGGGGGTGGGGGGGTGTACAGATTACATCAGATGCCTGTTATAATCTGTATCCCCCCTCTGAAATAATAGCAAATGCACTGATTTTTTTCAAAAGACAGATGGGAAAAAAATGAAAATACTTTCCTGCTCAAAGAACAACAATCATTTCAGCATTTTATTTACAGAAACCATCATTTTATGAAGCCGATCCGACAGTCAGCCCCCCCCCCCCCCCGGTGGGGATACAGATTATTTCGGGGATACCTACTTTGGCAGACACCGGCACCTTCTTGTCTCCAGTTATGGCTATAGTGGTGACTGCACATAAACAGACATGCACTTTAAATGTTTGCATTTGAATGAAGCCAAGGATTTGTTGCAGTAATAAATAAATAAACAAACAAACAAACAAACAAACAAAACAGCCAGACTGGTCTTGAGAAAAATCCCTGCGCTCATAACATCCAAGACAAGACCCGTCAAAATGAAGCAGACTACAAGACAATGGACCTCATGCAAGAACATGTTCGTATTCTTATCCTAAATTTCTCTTACTTTTGTTCGTACAAAGGGTTCGTACGAACATGTCACG